AATCTCTCACAACTTTTCTTCAGTGAGAACTCCTCAGCAAAATGGGGTCGCTGAAAGGAGAAATCGAATAATCATAGAGGCTGCTCGATCAATGCTCAGCGAATCCCATCTCCCTACTCAATTCTGGGCTGAAGCTGTCAACACCGCTTGTTTCACTCAAAATCGATCCCTGGTCGTAAAGAGGTTCAAGAAGACACCCTATGAACTTTTTCATGGAAGAAAGCCTTGGAAAGTTCAATCCCAAAGCTGGTAAAGGAATCTTTCTTGGATATTCTTCAGTATCCAAAGCCTTCAAAGTATTCAACAAACGAAGACAGACAATAGAAGAATCTATCCATGTCACCTCTGACGAATCTCAATCAGCTAATTCAAGACCCATCTTAAATGATGAGGATGAATTAGAAAACTGGATGTTCTCTCACTATGGACAAACTGAAACTTCCTCCAGTGCTCCTCTCAATACTAAATCCCATGAAGCAAAAGATGATCCACTTATCATTCCAGTTACAGCTAGTCACTCTAACGCATCTTCTTCAGAGATTGTTGTCGTGCACATTAGCTGTATTCCTCCTTCAACTGCAAACACTGGTCAATCAGTGAATGAAATGTCTTCAATATCTGAACTTGTTTCAGTCACTGAATCTGAGGCTCCTTTAGCGATAGTTCCTATTGTTGAAGACACTGCAGCTAAAGCCTCATCTTCTGCTCCCTGAACTTACCTACTCAGACGAAATTCCTCTACCAGCTCAACGATGAACTAAAGACCATCTAATTCATCAAATTCTTGGTGATCCAGATGCAAGTATCAAGACTCGTCGTGGTCTAGGTAATATCTATCTCTTTGTCAACTTTCTTTCTTTTATTGAACCCAAGAAAATCAATGATGCTATCTCTGACCCTAGTTGGGTCCTTGCCATGCAAGAGAAGCTCATTGAGTTTGATAGAAACAAAGTCTGGTACCTTGTCCCTCGTCCTTCTGACAAATCAATGATAGACACCAAATGGGTCTATCACAATAAGTTGGATGAGGAAGGTGTGGTAACCCGTAACAAGGCTCGACTTGTTGCTCAGAGTTATAGACAATAAGAAGGGATCGATTATGACGAAACCTTCGCACCAGTGGCTAGACTCGAAGCTATTCGACTCTTTTTAGCCTTTGCTGCCCATAGAGACTTTAAAGTCTACCAAATGGATGTAAAGAGCACTTTCCAAAATGGGAAACTTCAAGAGGAAGTTTATGTTGAACAGCCTCCAGGGTTTCAAGACCCTAAGTATCCAAACCATGTCTATCGTTTGGATAAAGCTCTTTATGGGTTAAAACAAGCTCCTCGTGCCTGGTATGATACCCTTTCCTCATTTCTCATCTTTGAGAAATTTGTTCGTGGAAAGATTGACCAGACCTTATTTCTTAGGAAAGTTAAGGGTCACATCATTCTAGTCCAAATTTATGTCGATGATATTATATATGGTTCCACTAATCCCTCTTTGTGTTTTCGGTTCGTTGATCGCATGAAGAAAGAATATCAGATGAGCATGATGGGAGAACTGACCTTCTTTTAAGGTCTCCAAATCAAACAAACTGATAAAGGTATCTTTATCAATCAAAGTAAGTATGTTCATGACATGCTGAAGAAGTTTGATTTATCAAACAGTTCATCCATGAAGACTTTAATGGCTCCTCCACTCTCTCTCAACAAGGATCCAAACGGAAAGCCTGTAAATGTAACTGTTTATAGAGGAACGATCGGCTCCCTGCTGTATCTAACAGCTAGTCGATCAGATATCATGTACTCTACCTACTTATGTGCAAGATATCAAGCTGAACCAAAGGAATCCCATTTGATTGCTGTAAAACGCATCTTCAAATATCTCAAGGGAACTCCTAACATGGGTCTTTGGTACCCTAAAGGTTCAGGTTTTGACCTAATAGGTTACCCGAATAGTGATTTTGCAGGTTGCAAAATAGATAGGAAAAGCACCACTGGAGGTTGTCAGCTTCTAGGTGGAAAGTTGGTGAGCTGGACAAGTAAGAAGCAAAACTCAGTATCCACATCAACAACTGAAGCTGAATACGTACCCGCTGAAAGTTGATGTGCCCAAATTCTTTGGATTAAAAACCAGCTGATGGACTATGATCTTCAGTTTTCTAAAGTTCCTAATTATTGTGATAGCACTAGTGCTATTGCAATTGCAAATAACCCTGTACTTCACTCCAAGACCAAACATATTGAGATTCGATATCATTTTATTAGAGATCATCTTATGAATGGTGATATTGAACTTCACTTTGTTCCAATTGAGTACCAGCTCGCTGACCTTTTCACCAAGCCTCTTGATGAGACAAGATTTAACATCTTGATCAGCGAGCTAGGGATGCTAAACACTGAATAATAATCTTCAACTATTAACATCGCTCAGTAAGTGAAATGATTCAGTGTTCTATTTCTGACACTGAACTCTTGAGTAAATGTATCTCTTCTCTCTAAGGTATGATTACTCTTCTCTTTTCTTCAAAACTTAAAACCTTTACTGAAGCTTTCTTCTTCAATGACTAAAATGTTTTAAAAGTTTGTTTCAGTGATTCTTTTATCACTAATCATAAATAAGTATATCTTTGTACTTATTTTCTTAAAAAATCAAAATGATCACTGAATCCTTTCTATTCAGTGATTCAAAATGTTTTTTTTAAATGCCAGGTTCAATGATTTATTTATCACTGACACTGATGCCTTAAAACTATCACTGAAGAATTCCGACTTCACTGATAAAAATGTTTTAAAAGGTCTTTTCAGTGTTTAGTTAAACACTAAATGACTCTTCGTTTTCTTAAAAACCTTTTCGTTTTTAAAAGAATTAGTTAATGAACCGTCTTAATGACGACATCTTTTATTTACAATGCGCAATGCTCTGAGATGCGCAAAAAGGTATTGTCACATGCTACCTCATTTAATGTCATCCAATCATGGATGAGAACGTGCCATTTTCTCATCATGGCCCCTTTTCTCAATCGTCGTCTTTTCTCTCTCTCATATTTTTCTCTCTCCTCTTACCTATAAATATGAGACTTTTTCTTCACTTTTCTTTTTACGCTTTCAAAATTTCTATGACGAACCTCTGCCGAAATTACCAAGCAAGAAATACTCTCAAAATCTCTCAAGTTTTTCTACGACCTTTCACTCTAAACTCTTAAGGTCAAAATTTATTTTCTTGATTCTTCTTCTTCTAAGAAATGTGTTTAACATTTTTAAGAACTTTGTTCTCTTAAAATGTTAAATATTAATGATTATTAACCCAACTATTACTTGGTTATAATCACATTTCTTTAAACACATTCTACTTGAAAAACCCTAATCCTTCTTCAAGGATTTTTCAAAAGAAGTTTTTCTTGATTCAAAAACTTACCTAAAAACTTCTCCTTAGCACATCTAGGTTTTTCTAACACTGTTTTATCTTATTCTTATTAAAAAAAGATGGCTGCCAAGAACATTGGATTCACCCTTGACGAAGTGTCCTTCAAGGCCAACAACCACATTGCCTTGTTGGACATCCCTTCGTCCAAGGCTTATTACCAAGAGGTGGCTGACTTCCTCAAACAGTCATCGTTCGGTTTTGCCCTCAACCATGAACCTATCATGGTTAAGGAGCTCTTACAGTAGTTTTGGTTCACTGTTGAGATGGTTGATTGTGATAACCGGATTCTAGTTATCACCCGAGGTAATTAATATGTGATTATTTGATAAATGATTATGTGACAGCATGATAAATTGTTATATTGATCATGCTAGTACGTGAAACTACATGCATAATGAAGTACATGCATAGGTATGTATGTATGTGTGGATATGTATGTATGTACAAGAGTTATATATGTGCATGAGTGTATCCATAGTTGTTGAACAATTGAAACAATCACAAAAAGGAGCCATGGATAAGTTTGTAAAAACCGTAGGTTCTTCTAATCAAGAGTTAGATGCCTCAAATGAACAAGATGTTGAACATCCAAATATCAGTGAAGATAATGAAAAGATTGATGGTGTGAGTGAACATGAGGTCCCCAATTATACTGAAAATTTATCCGTTGATGAACAATCAATTCTGTTTTTCGATATTTGTGATCCAAGAAATTGGGATAATCTTGATACTAAATCAAGAGACATCCTAGTTGAAAAAGGACCTATTAGAGAATTGGGTATCGTGTTTTTCTTTTAGATAACATGTCAAGACATTTTTCATATGCTTATTATGATAGAAAGTTAAGYAACGGTGAAACTAGTGATCGAAAATGGTTACTTTATTCAAAATATGAGGATAAAGTGTATTGTTTTTGTTGTAAGTTGTTCAAGTCTAAGAATTATAGAAATGCAATAGCTAATGAAGGATTTAGAGATTGGAAGCATCTTGGTGAGAGACTTAAAAAACATGAAAATAGTATTGAACATATGAATAACATGTTATCTTGGAATGAACTAAGAGTAATATTGAACACAAACCAAACAATCGATAAAGACTTGCAACAAGTGATTTTAAAAGAGAAAGAACGTTGGAGGCAAGTTTTAGTAAGAATAATTGATGTTGTGAAGTGTCTTGCTAAGTATTTTTTGYCTTTTAGAGGATCAAATGAGAAGTTGTATCAACGTAGCAATGGTWWTTTTTTGGGGTTAATTGAAATGATTGGAGAATTTGATGTGATAATTCAAGATCATATTAGACGCATTCAAAATCATGAAGTTCATTATCATTATCTTGGCCCTAGATTCAAAATGAGTTAATTTCTCTATTGGCTCATAATGTTAAAAGTTCTATCATGAAAATTATTAGAGATGCTAAATATTTTTCTGTAATTCTTGATTGTACACCGGATGTGAGCCATCAAGAGCAAATGAGTTTAATCATACGATGCCTGAATATGTCCGGTGATAAAATTAAAGTAGAGGAGTATTTTATAGAGTTTTTAGAGGTTGATGATACATCTGGTTTAGGGTTATTCAATGAATTATTAGATGTACTTAAATCTCAATCTTAGTGTTGATGATGTGAGGGGTCAAGGTTATGATATTGGTTCTAACTCGAAAGGAAAACACCAAGGGGTACAAAATCGATTACTTGAAGTTAATCCAAAAGCGTTATATATGCCATGTGCTTGTCATAGCCTTAATCTTACTCTTAGTGATATGGCTCATTCTTGTGTTAAAGCTGTTTCATTTTTTGGAATTGTTCAACGCATATACACATTATTTGCTAGTTCTACAAAAAGGTGTAAGGTGTTACTTGATAATGTGTCAAACTTAACTATAAAATCTTTGTGCAACACAGGTTGGGAAAGTAGAATAAAAAGTGTTAAGCCAATTAGATTTCAAGCTCCTCAAATAAGATCGACTTTGCTTGAATTATGCAAATCATGTGACGATGTCAAGACGAAAAGTGAAGCGGAAAGTTTGGTAAATGTAATTGAAAATTTTGAGTTTTTACTTTGTATGATTGTTTGGTATGATGTTTTATTTGCAATAAACATGGTTAGTAAAAGGTTGCAATTAAAATCTATGTGCATTAATGCTACCATGGAACAATTTGAAGGTGTAGTGAAGTATTTTGAAAAGTATAGGAATGAAGAGTTTGCATCAAGTATGGATACTGCTAAAACAATAGCATGTGAAATGAATATAGATCCTACATTTTTAATTAAGCGTCGTATTATTAGGAAAAAAACAATTTGATGAAAATAACAGTGAAGAAGAAATGCAAGCATCGGAAGAGGAAGCTTTTAGAGTTAATTATTTTCTAACCATTGTGGACATGGCAATTTCTTCATTGATATTAGATTTGAACAATTAATGAAATTTGAAAGTATTTTTGGATTCCTATTCGATTCTGATAAACTAAAGTCATTGGATGAAAATGAATTGATGAGATCTTGTGTTCATTTTAGTGATACTATTTATCATAATATTGTGGCGGATGTGGATGTAAATGATCTTTATTCTGAGTTAAATGTGTTGCAGGTGACTTTGCCAAACAAATCAATGACGCAGTCGAAATTCTTGAGTTTGTCAAAGTTGTAGATTGTTACCCTAATGTATCGGTTGCTTATCGAATTATGTTGACAGTACATGTGACTGTAGCATCTGCAGAAAGGAGTTTTTCAAAATTGAAGTTATTGAAGACGTACTTGAGGTTATCAATGTCACAAGAAAGGTTGAATGGATTGGCAATATTGTGCATTGAAAAAGACATGCTTGATAATATTGATTTAGATGTTATTATTGATGATTTTGCATCCAAAAATGCTCGAAGAAGTTGTTTTGTATGAATTAGATGCTATTATT